TATTCTCGAGAACAAAGTCGAATTTGGGTGTGTACAATCATTCTTACCCGTTCCCCTTTTATCGCTCTCCCCATCACAATTCTCTTTTTCCGTATCATTCTAGCTAAATGTACAAGACACATGGCATGTGCGTTTTTGTTATCCCCCACAGGGTGCATTTATCATTTTTTTGTTGTAAAATCTCTACACATTTTTATAATGATGCCCATCAGCCGCTTGAATTCACGTCAAGGAATTTACAAATAGACTTACAAGCTTCTGCTATAGAATAATCAGCTACTGCTGGATGCTATTTTGTTTTCTGCATGATATTATATAAAACGTTGAATTTATTAACCAAATGGTGCGATAACAATGTAAGCTATTTTTACGTATACAAACAGTTTATAAAAAATTGCCAATTTTTATCTATTCCTTTCTTTTATCTTTTGTTTCTTTTCCCTCTTTAACCGCAGTGCGACTTAGGTGGCCACTACGGTGGAACATTTCGCGCTTCGTGAAACTGAAACGAGCGAAACGATCCTGCGAAACAATTACCATGGGTCGCCGACGACTCCGTATCCTTCTATTCTTCTCTCTCTTATTCTCAATATAAGCTCGAGTGCCAAACGAACCTGATTTTCTCCATACCGTTGCTCGACAATAATTTTCTTCGTTAACGCGCCTCCACGAGCAGACTTTACGCGCATCCTTCGTCGTAGTTGCTCGTTATCCTTGCTTCCAACGACTGCGGCTTGGAGTCCTGTGGTTCATTAACTTCCACTGGTCCTTCGGGTTGATCTTAACAACATATACACTTCCATGAATTTTTTTTTACAATAGAATATCCGTTCATTTCCAGTACTCTTGCAGGTGTCGCCCTCTTCTTTATGGACTAAAATAATGAAATTTTATTTATCCAAGTTCTACATCCATTAAACAAATTTATCTTTTTTTAATGGTTTAGTAAAGTATCTGGTATTTCTTGATAAATCGCGCTTTTATTGTTATCCAAAGAATTTTTGTTTTATAAATAAATAATTGGTCAAGGATAATTTTGAAAATATTTGGATAAAAGTGAAGATAGTTTATGGGCATTTTTTTGAAGATAAAAAATTTTTTTAATGAAAATATGTCTTGTATTACTCAATTAAAGGTGAAGATATTCAAACATCAATAGCTTGTTAAAATGTCTGTCTTCCCGTCGGTATTTAGGTAGAAAGCTAGACTACAAAGGAATAGAAAATTTATTTTATGTTTTCCAGTTATTCTAAAAAAAAAAAAATAGATTTTAGATGAAGCCATGTTTTATTATATTTTCAAGACTATTATGCGCCAAAGATATACTTGAGAACAAACTACATATTTATAGCTGATGTTTTGTATTTATTTTGTCTTAATTAATTTAAAAAATAATTTGTAATGTAATTATGGCCATATGTTTTATCATTACAAAATTCCAATAATATTTTTAAGTAAAATTTTAATGAATATGTAATTTACACTTGTGTTTCAATAGAATGTTTTTCATGTTTTCAAGGTAATCAGTTTCAACATGCAAAAACTTTTATTTCATTTTTCTGAAACTAGTGAAGAAAATTAAAGTATTAATTCCACGGTATGGTTTCACCTGGCCTTTCTTATATAAGTTCAAGATGTTAACTAAGACACTGAATGATCAACTGAAGACTTTAATGATGTGTTCTCGCTTTCCTCGCACACATGATGGCTGTAATGAATACGTTCAGTAGTGGCCTGGGGGGAATTAAATTGTCGAAATATCAAGCTAAGAAATAAGAATAAAAAAAAGCAAAACTGAAGCTGTTTGATCATTTATTCAATTATTTTTTTTATACGCATAGGTTTTTTTCACTTTTATGATTATTTTGTGAAGCAAGCATTGGTCCGTGAAGCGTGTTTATTAGCTTATAATTTTCGTATTACAATTCAAATATACGTGTGAAAGTAAAACGTCAGTTCAATAAGTTGAAAGGATGTTCCCGGGTGAAAAGTTTCTCTCCCAAGGGTGTCAAAATCGAAGGGAAAGATGTGTATTCTTCCTTAGTAGAATGACAAGAAGAAAGTAATAACATTTCGACAGAAGAAATCTAGTTTGTTTGAGTCGGCGGATCAATAGAAGGATGTCGCGATGTCGCGAGATAGGATCAAGGATATGAGAAGCCAAGGACTTAGCTGCGAAGACAAGGCAATGTTGAAAAAGATCTAGAAAGACAGACACGCCCCTGTTTGGTTGCGGCAGCCTCTGTCCGCGGTGACATCAATGGATCTTATTCAGAAGCCCCACTGAGGATACAGGATTACCTGGTCCAGGTATATGGCAGCTATTTTCTAGTTTTGACCTAGAACCACGGGATGTGCTTAATAGACCTCGAAGACGAGACTTGTTTGGACGTTTGTGGTAAACAGAGCGACAACGGATGATCTATGTTTTAAATGGGGATGAAAAGAACCGCTTTTCCCGCAAGGACAGGGTGGTCGTCTTGTCAATACTGAAAAGATCTTGAAAATTTCAATCCATGCCTAATTCAACTCCTACCAGAGGTAAAACTAGAGTAGCCCGGTTGATGGTTGACTTTAATAAATTATTCCAAAATACGTGAGAAGGATTAATTGAGGGTGAAGAATTATAGATCATTTGATGAGAGAATCGTGCGAAGAAATAGTGATTAAGCCTTTGCGTTATTTTTTATTTCACTTTTACTGCCGATTTTATTTCTCGTATATAAAATATCATTCATGTTACTATACAAGGTTCTTAGCATAATGATAAAGAATATATAAAGCTTTTCCAGTTGGCCACCCACAGTGGTTTCTGTTGGGCAAAACTGTTCTATATTTTAAAGCCTGTGGCGATATATCTCTTCATAGGACTGATAAACGTCTTATACCTTCACCTGTGCTTTGTTTGTATCTTCTAGTGATCGATGTGCTTGCCATCGTAAACTCAATTATCTTATTCACCTTTTCCTCCCTTTGTCTGAAATTATTGGTTCGCTGACATTATTTATGAAACTACCAACTTTAATCCTATTGTTGCATAACACTGATTATTCCAAAAGCAGTATGGATCCTTTGAAAGTAGAAAAAAAATTCACGATCACTTTTGATGTTCATCCATATGGTTAGAAGGAGTCGGTTAACTAATTTAAAAATTTTCAGGTTCGATAGTTGCCTGTATTGGTTGGAAAAATTTATGTGAATATACCTGTGAATTTTCATGCTCTGAAGTTACATTCATCTAGATTTCACGTAAAAAGAAATTGATGATGTTGGCAGTTTGACTTTAAAGTTAAATAATTTATCATTTATAAATGTACCATAACAATTTAATTTTCAATATCAATTTTTCAATTTAAAAATCTATTTATTAATTGTCTTTCATGCTTCAGAATTCTATGAATTCAATATGTTCTTGTAAAAGAGCTTTGTAAAAAATGAAAAAACATTTTTTAAATTACTTCTGTGCTCACCCACGTGGTGAGAAAAGTCATTCGGGCAATTGCCCAATTTTCAAGCCCAATAGTTCGCGATTGAAAAATGTTTATATGTTTATATCCTGTGAATTTTCATGCTTGAGCATATTACATTCATCTAGATCCTACCTGAAAGGAAGCTGGCGTTACACAAAGCTCAACACTTACATTATTTTGACTTTATGACTAAGGCTGGTTATTCAACAAAAGGATCTTTTTGTTGCCGCGTGTTCCCCGGCGGTATATAGAGAGCTGGACCATACGGCGTGAAAATGGAGAAAGATTAGAACACACACAAGGTTTTAGCTTTTAGACGTCTCGTACCTGTCATTTGGTTGGCGTAGAATTGTTGCCAAGAACTCTCCCTTGATCCTGACTAGTAATCCCAAGTAGTTTCGCCGATTTCTATGGGATCTATATGTTTTCATTCTCCATTTCGACTGCTAAATATACTAAGTTGGTGTAGCCGCCCACCTTGTGTACATATATCATCTAATGCCACCATGTTACCAAACAATTTATTCGATCAAGATTTATGACCTTCTACCACATGAGTATATCGTTGTTGAACTATGGTTCGCTCTTTCTGTTAAATATATTAAGAATTTGCTTGTGTTTGCTATAGATTATAACATCCATGAGAAAAATTTCTAATCGTATTTGTAAAAACGTGGGATAGAGTTTTATTTTTTCGATACAGCAAAGACCTAAAATTTATTCGAATTTTTTCGGAGATAAGGCGATCTTGTACATTTCAATATTTATTTATCTTAAATAAGATTCTTTTCTTAATTCTTATACAATGATCTTTGCAACGATGAAGAAAAATATTTTTATATACATTTTTTAAGAAGAAAAAAGTATTACTATTGGAAAAAAATGAACATTATTTTAATTTTCTACAGGCAATTGACTTTCTGACCTTTTGATTAAAATTTATTTTAATTTTCTCTTTAAAGATCTACGCTTCACTTGAATTCTTCGTAATCATAAAATCATGGTGATTAGGATCATTGAAAAGATTTTATTAAAAAATAATGTTATTAAGAAATTATCTTTTTATTTATATAAATATCCTTACGAAAGATTAATTTAATCAGATAACGTAAATACAAATAATTTTTTATTCATAAGAATTGAATAGACATTGAAGTCAAATTCAAGAAAGTGGAATTTTTCATGTGAAAATATTTACTAAACCGTATGATTAGCTTTCACGCTGCTAAAAACTAAAAAGCAATGCAGCAAAATTTACGCTTCACCAAAAGTTATTTATAACAAAAGTTTGTATTCACAATAGGATTTATAAGTACTTATATCGTATTTATTTTGAATTTCCTAATAATAACAAATAGTTGAGAATCAATAATGAAGTTTGCAAAATTTACATGTTGTATGTTAAGATAAAAATCAATCAAAGAATCTTATGAGGAGATAATAAAATTATTAGAAAGTACACTTTATTTTAACTATCTTGTGTAAAATTGATTTAATTTATTGGCTTTCGAGTACAATAATGAAAAATTATGATTAATTACGTGGTCAAAGTGTTGAGAGAGAACGATGGAAAAGGTTACAAAATTTATAAGATGTCCACCGCAATTTAACGAGAATTTACTGACAGGATCACTCACAGTTTTAATGCTCACTGAACCAACCACTTTTAGAGTTCCTCCATCATCAAGTAGTAAGAATGAATTTTCTAATGCAATTTTTGATTTAGCGGCTGCAGAAGAGAAAGAAGGAACTGTTAAAGTTAAAAGTTCTAAGACAGGTAAGTTCATAATTAACCTCACAAAGAATTTCAATTAAAAAATTTTTTCCCAATTATTTCATCTTTATTTTATGGAGTATCTTTCAACATTCACTCATGCATCATTTACTTTCGAATGACATTGAGATGACAAAGAATAATTATCATTATATTGTATTTCAATAATTTTCTAAGACTAATTTTTTATTTTAGGTTAATTATACCAGTTAAAAAAATTTGCAAATTGTGGAATAATTTTAAAATTCAAGTAAGTTTATGCTTATAAAAGCATAAATAAAAAATCTATATTAATGGTATAATTGTGCAATTCTACTATTAATATTATACTTATATATTATCAATATTGTAGGAGCAAGTTATCACTTTATACTAATATTTTACTCATTTTATTACAGTGGGATCTGAAGTTCCAGAATCTTATCGATCATCTGAAACATATAGATCACCTGGGCCTCGTAGATCAACTGAATCTCAATCATCTTCAAGAAGATCATCAGGATTCAAACAGAGATTATCTCAATTATTATGCTTATCAGGGGAGCCTGAAGATTTAAATCCTGTTGATATTGAAGAAGGGGTGGAGTTCAATGAATATAATCAACATGATAGAGGAAATGAACAAAATGCATATCTTGGATCGGAAGAGTCCAAATTAAGTTCTGCTGATGTATTAGAAAATAATCGTCTATCAAAATTATCTCCAAGAAAAACAAACGAAAGTATTTTTGATGATGAAGATGAAGATGAAGAAGAAGATGATGAAGCAGTGGAAGATGAAGAAGGATATGAACAAGATGTTAGGTTGTCATCGAAATTATCCGAACGAGAACAGATATTAAGTCAAATTGGCAGCGTGAGAAGTAGTTTGAGACATTCAAGAGAACATGAAAAAGATCAAAGGTCAAGAGTTATTAGTGATTTAAGGAGTATTCTTCAAAATGATATTGACAATGATAGTAGAAAACAGTCGAAAGTTTCTAAAATTAGCGATCCAAGAAGTATTACTTCACGATCTTCAAAAAAATCAGAAGAACCAGTATTTTGGGGTGTTGATGTCGACGAAGATTATTCTGATGGACGAAAATCAAAGTTATCATATAATGAAGCAAAAATGATGACAATAGATGAAATAGAAAGAGCGATTCAACGATCTAGGAAATCCAGAGTATCTGACAATAGACTGAAACCAAGTTTTATTTCTGATAAAGATCCACGATCATCGAAATTATCTGAAAGAGAGTACAAAAAATTAAATGAAGTTGGAAGTATTAAAAGTAGCGTGAGACCATCAAAAATTTCTAGCCAAGAGCAAAGATCAAACACTAGTAGCGATTTAAAGAAGAGTTTTGACAAAAATAGTCTTTCGATTGATAGTAGAAAACAATCCAAAGTACCTTCAGATAAATTTGATGATGTAAATCTTTCTCAACGTCGTCGGTCATCAAGAGAACCTCAAATTGATCCCAAAACAAATGTAGTTGTGGATAAAACAAGTATTATCACTCGACAATCAAAAATATCAGAAAGAGATGGTGAATCGAATATCATAGATGAAGAAAGTGTTATTCGAAGATTATCTAAAAAACCAGCAGATTCTTTAAAATTGAGTTTAGATAATGATAAACTATATTTGATTTCTGAAGATGATGGAAGACGATATTCTGATGAACGAAAATCTCGAGAATCAAGCAAAGAAGCTAGATTAAGTAGAAAAAGTGCAGAGACTGGTAGCAAACGATCATCAAAAAAGTCAGGAAGTGGCGTAAAGATAAGTTTAATTGATGATAGATTTGATTATAAGCCCGAAACACGTGTGAGCGTTGATGAAAAAAGATATGATGAAGGACGAAGATCTGAAGAATCGATAAAAGAAGGTAGATTGAGTAGAATTACTAAAGAGAGTGTAAGTAGAAAATCATCAAGAAGGTCCGAGAAATCAAGAGACGGATTAAAATCAAGCATAGTTGATGAAAGTTTTGACTACACATCAAGATCAAGTTTTCCTTCAGATGAAGAGAGACGTTCCGACATACAAAAATCACAGGAATCATTACGGGAGCCGAAGATAAGTAGAATTCATGAATCAATTACAAGCAAACGGTCATCAAAACGATCTCAAGGAGATCGAAAATCACTTTTTGTTGATAATTTTGACAGCAAACGAGTTTCGAAATTATCAGACAGTGAACATAAATGGATTAGTGATGATTCAGACAGTGAACATATGAGGCAATCAGTTGAATTTGTGAAGAGACCATCAAGTATTTTTTCTAGATCGAGAAATGCAAGTAAACAGCAGTCAATTGATTTAGAAAAAGGAGTAAGAACAACTTTACTAGACGATTTAGATGCTAAGAGGTATAGTGGAAGAGCTGATTCTCGAGTTTCTCGAATGGATAGGCCAAGATCGGTATTTGAAGATACTGATATTATGGATCAGACGACGCACAGAGTGAGTGATTTAGAGAGACAATTAATATTAGATCCAAGATCGTTAAAGTCTCCAACTCGATCATTAAAATCAGAAGCAAGACCTACAGATATTATGGATCAGACGACCTTGAGGGTGAGTGATTTATCAAGAAAATTAAAATCACATGCACAATCGAGTCAAGCTGGAAGGGAAGATATAGTACAACGGCCATCTTCATCAACACGTGCATCCTGTCATTACTCTCCAAAGCATTCATTTAAATCAGAAGTTGCAAAAGAGTATTACGCAGCACCAATTGATAAAGTATCCGATCGAAAGAGTAAAAGTTGGAAACATGAGATACCGAGTTGTTCAATGAAATGTTCGAATCCATCAAGACTTCAGGATGGAAAAGTTCAAAAGAAATGTCAACGTCAGAGGCGAGTCTTTTGTTTCTTGGCTGAAGATTTTGTACAAGGATTTTTCTGACCTCCTCAAAAATTTCTTTAGTATTAGGATTGACTTCTGTACGCGTCGGAGAGCTGCTAAGCCGCCGCCACCATCAGCTGCTGAGCAATTTGTTTTAAATATGGGGAATAGTCTGAAAGCAATGAAGGAAGAAACTTTTCCAGTCATTCGACAAAAGGCAAGGAATGCTATGGACAGCTTAAAATCGATAAGTAAACTTAAACTACCAAAGTCATGTAAATGTCCTGAAAGAGTCGACAATGTACATGTTATCAAAGGAAAAACTCATCGTGAAAAAGTGAAAAAACCTCAACTGTGTAAGTGTGATGATAATCCTTTAAGATTCACAACTAAAGGTAGCCAGCTTCCTATTTGTGGCTGTACACCACCTGAACATTTACGTGATGAAAGTGATTGAATAATTTATTCCTTAACGTACTTGTTATAAAAGTTTAAACATAAATATGATTTATTCACGTTGGTTATTTATTGTCGTACAAGTATTTAAAGTTTTTTGATTTAACATTTTCTATTGTCACTCATAATTGTAATTTACAATCTAACTTTTTATTCTAGAGATTTTTAGGACCATTAAATACTACCCGGAAATAAAATAAAACAGTCTGTCGTTTAGTATCCACGTTTGCAAAGATATTTTATTGGCAGTGAACATTTTTATTACTCTCTTCTTTGTGGTATTCGGAGCGCAGGTTTATTATACGTGTATTTCATAAGTACCTGTTGCCGTAAAAAAATTTTTTCTAGAGCGGAAAAAATAAAATTTTACGAAAAAAATTTTTCAATTATTTCTTTATTACGTTTTGTTTATTTATGAGACTTCATTATATTAAAATTAATCTAGGTTATTCAGCTATGTTTCCTATAACTAGCTGAGAGTTTCAACATACTACTCATTTTTAAATATTCAATCATTTTTTCAACATCACAAACATTTAATCAGTGATAATTCTAGTCTTTTAAATTATTTTAACTATCTTGAGAAACTACTGACCTTTGACAATATTTATAATAAAAATTCTTAAAATAATGATTAAAAAATAATCGGGGACATCAACAGCTTTGTAAACATTGTTTCCAATACTCAACAAGTATTATAAAATGTTTGTACTCACGTTTATTGCAATGACTGTGGTTAGTATCTAGTAATAATTTAAAAAAATAATCTTAAACGTTTCTTCATAATCCTAACCTTGGACAACATCAACAAACGTAGTCTATATGACAAAACAATTTCAAGGTATTGATATCTCAGTAAATACTATTTTCTATATTAAATATGGTTTATCTAATTACGTATTCTAAACAGAAATATTTGAATAATGAGTTCAAAGGAAAAATAGATAGATCAAGAAATAGACGCCTCAAAGAAGACCAGTTTTTAGAATGAAAAAAAATATGTATAACATTATTTTATTTTTTTTTTTTAACATTATTGCTTCTTTATTAGTTTATTTATTTTATTAACAGAATTGTTATTTATTGTCAAAACATTCAAAAAAAGTTGATTTTTTAAAAATGACAGTAATAATTTTGTGCGTATACAATAACTCTGTACTCTTAAGAGTAATAATTTTCTGTTAAGTTATCTTCCATCACCGCTTGAGATATTCACTACAAAAATTACCACAAATTTTGGATGAAGGTACTTGAAAAAAATTTTCCGTAAAGTAATTGTTAGTTATGTTCCAAATTACTCCGTTTACTTCATCTCCATGATCCGTTGGAGGTTTATGTGGGCGCATATACACCCACTTGTATCATATCATACCAGGTTGTGTATAAAAGCAAATTGATCTTTAGTCCTTCAGGCAAAAGGCATATTCTAATGAAAATGTAGTTATCGATGACATATAATATTTTTGTAACTTGTAAACAGTAACATAAATAATTATTTGTTTCTTTTTTTTTTTGTTTTTTAGTAATTGTTACTTTATTCTCCTAAGGTCGGGCTCATCTTCCACTCATTTCTTTATAATTGCCAGCGCAGTTGGATGTTAAACGTCGAGTAGAGGTTTAAGGTTAATGTGTGCGGCCTCGTTTGTCATGTGAATAATAAATTGTGTTAGATTTCTCAGAGTTACAAACGCACGCAAGGGTCGGGAAGACTCAGAGCTTTTGTATTTTTGGTCGCATGTCAATAGCCTTCTTCATAGGATCTAGATAGAGATAGATTACTTCAATGATAATCATATCATACATAATAATTATGTAAGAATATTTTTCAGAGTCAATTAATGTCTTTCAACGATATTGTTTGAAAATGTCTTATGAACAATTCAAATTGTTTCTGCTCTGTTGCTTCTATAATGATTGTTGAAATATACTTTTTTGATATTATCTAATATTTTTGAATAATACAAACATTTCTGTATTTTCATTTCTGATAATAAAACATTAGTTGACATAATTTCGAAAAATTTTAATATTAAAATTATTTTATCTAAAAAAAAAAACATTAATTAAAATAATTTTCTTAATTTCATGGAATTATCAAGCTTGTTATAGAATAATTAGATTTAAAAAATGCATAATGACAAGCAAGTGGAAAGTATCCAGATACCATGAAACATTCTTGGTTAAAAAGATGAAAATTAAAAAGTAGAAAAGAATTCAATTAATTTTTGATTTGTTTTCTTTGTTTAAATTATGAATAAATTCATAAACATAAGTTTATTAATAAAAAAAAAAATTGCATACGCCATTGCACGTGGTCGTTTCTATAGCAGTTTTCACACGCATAATCACCTGTCTCGTCCATCATAAAGTCCCAGCATTGCCGGGCCAGATGTAATATGCTATGCCCACGCAAAACTCGTCTAACGTTCCAACGTTTCAACACACGCCCACATGTTCAAGTCGGCTCGCTTTCAGAATGTTGTGAGTCAAATTGCCCTGAGTGCACAGTTTCATCAATCCCCACCTTTTGACGTACAGTATTATCGTTCGTGTGTGCATCTACTGCACGTAAAGACGTACATCTAAGTTGCATGTTGCATTCCAGTAAATATAACTACAATTCCTGGCACATAAATAATTTTATTTGTTTCATTTATTTGATTAATCAAAACCTTTCCTCGGAACTTGTCATCTAAAAATATACCTGAAGCATCATTTTCATTCGAAAGAAATGTTCTCAAGTAGTTGTAAATTTTTTCCCATCTTGTATTGTCATCTGTTTCTGAACGAATCATCTCTGCAGTAGACTTTAATCAAATTTTAATCGTCTGTTCGAGATTGTGTTGGTGTAAACTGTCTGATGATTACTACAAACCCACGTGGCACAAAAAGAAGACGCTGACACATGAGTTAACTGTACGATTGACAGCTCGACAGGTGAAACTTTAACGGTACGATATCCGCAGTGAAATTGAGAAGAATATAAGAGGTCGTTTCAACAGAAATACATAGTGTACATATGTATACATGTATTTATATTCAATGCTACAAAAAAGTCAAGAAGTATTCACATCAAAAAATAAATAAATGTCATTGCATGTTGATAAACTATTTATACATATCTAAGTTTTATATATTATTATATAGATATTTTCTGTTGATGCTCCAATTTTAAATGAATATTTTTTAAAGTAAAATATTTTGTCTAGTGTTTATATCATTTATTCAATGTTTTATTCTACTTGAATGCAACTAAATAAGTTAGTGGCTAAAATAATAATACAATTTATTTATTTAGTTATGTTCGTAAAATAATTTATCAATAAATTTTCATGCAAATTAATATATATATATATATTTTCTGCTTAGTGAATGTTTAAATACACTCATATGAAGTCCTGGTCTCTATAATAAAGATTAGAAGAACGATGAAATGTTTGAGAATGTGTATAAAAAAATGGGCGGCGCTTTGGATGTTGCCGGATCGATCTAGTCTCAGAGCAAGGCCGGCCTTTAGAGATTTCGTCGAGCCCTTCTCCGCCTCTCCCGCATATCCGCGAAAGAAAAAATGATGGAGATTAAATATGAAGAAGGATTAACATCATCCAGAGAAAAATCTTGATTTTCATCGGTATTAATAAACTGATTAAGAGCTTTTTAGAGAGAGGATAAAATTGATTAATAAAAGGATTTTGGAGTCTTAGAGATTTGTTATACAACAAGAGTGAATTTTTGTTGTAAAGAACCAAAGGATTGTGTTGCTAAGCTTCGACATTCCTGAAATGGACAACGTGAGTATCACAAGAGAAGTATCACTTTTCGAGTACCCAAAAGCTAAAGTTAAAAAAAAAAGAAAAGGTGAAAGAGAAGAAGCAGCATCACTTTAGTCACGCAAAATTCGTGCGCCCATTCTCAGGAGCTTGACAAGGCCCCCGACGACGAGATAAGAGAGTTGCCACTACGCAGATGGAAGAGGGGACGAGACACCGAATGAAATATCTCTTTCACGGCAGTTCGGACTCCCGACGGATTCAAGCGACTTGTCCTTGTGCAGTGGTTGGAGTATCAGTGCACATGTATGCATTAATCATGCAAATAGCGTGCGACGATTCATTTAAACAAACAAAAAAAAAATTTCGAAAATCCGTGGAAAAAAATACACTGTAATTTAATTCTTCCATTCTTTAGATCCTTTTCATTCGTTTTTTCGTATCTAAATTTAGACTGAAACACCCGCGGACTTCTGAATCAGACTTAATCCTATCACAAAAAAGATTTTTTTTTATCGTCAGTTATATTACCTACTAGCAATCTCGGCTTTAATAGACACTGAAAATCCTTTTAAGGTGATTCAAACACGTTTGATTTGCAGAGAGTTGATGTATACGTGTACTAGCGTGCAGGAACCCGGTGCTTTGAAGAAGAGAGGGCCCTCAAGCCGATGAAAAAAAAAGAAGAAAAAGGAATGAGAAGAATAAGTAGAATGAGAATGAGAAGGACTGCAGGAGTTGAGCATCGAGAGATTATAGTAAATTTCGACTTGGGTGGTCCAGGAGAAGCGCGGTCTCCTGTCGAGTTCCCGCGCCGCGTGCGCCACCTCGCGA